CTCGGGGTCTTGTGAACAAGCTGTAAACAAGTGTGACAGGTTTGAAAATACAGGGATGGCGTGTAAGGAGGGTGAGGATAAAAGCAGAGGTGATATGAATTTACAATGAAATGAGACATGTCAGGACAAGTGACGTGCGCGGGAACCGGCATCGTCGTGTAGAATCCAGGCGGAAGAAGTAGCGGTCAATACATGAAAGAAAAGCTCATGAAAGACATATAGATGACCGTCAACGACGGGCGTCTGAGTTGTGAGATTGGCTCAAGCTAGAGGATGGGGCTGAACGTGACAAGCCAGATGGAAGGTATCAAGAGCGGCAGTATGCATAGATAATGCCGGGCCGGCAAAAGACTCGACTCGGTCAATCGGGGGTTTGAAGACAACAGGATATAGGCTATTTTGCCGCATCGTGATTGTGTCAATACCGTATCAAAGCCGAGACAGATCACAAATGTCAGATCAACATTAGGCTATGCGAGCCGAAGATCCACGGTGACAACAATTCCAGCCTCGAGACAACAAGGGAAAACAAGGCGAGAGAAGTGAAGAACGATCAATCAAAGACCGAGGTTTGAAGGTTGAGCATCCCCCCTGGTTCAAGTCACGGCGCTTCATTGTCTTGTTGTGTAACGTGAGAGCTGAGAGTTGATGAGAAAGATAACCAGATACAGACACGAGACCCTAAGAAGCTGGTTCTCGGTGTGCAGATTCAGTATGGAATTCCTTGGCTATGGATGGGCACGGGATGAGACAAAATGAACTGCCAGACGTTGCTTTTTTTTTCTTTCGCGATTTGACAAATAGAAGCATCCGGATAATATACCCAAGTTTCATGTTGTAGGGGATAAACTTGCTTACTCAAAGGCATGATTTTATGATACAGTAACTTGCAGTCAAGGAATCATTGGGTAATTGGATTGTGATACATCTGTTCTCCCAACGTCAAGTTTGCTCGTTCTTGTCACAGCAAATAAAAATCATGGAATGTGTTTGCTTACCTGTACTAGAGACCTAGACCGAACCTTGAGAAAAGTGACAGAAGGTTTCTGTTGTCAAGTGGAGGCCAGCCTCCGTCTTATTCGCTGGGGGGGAATGACGCTCGAGATGATGTATCATTTATGATGGAAAAAGCAAAGAGGACATCCGCGGAGCCAGTGAAAAAAAAAAAAAAAAAAAAAAAAAGAAAGGTCGTGTGGACTAAAATACGCAGAAGCAGAAAAGAGGCCCGTTCACTGTTGAATCAAGGGAGGAGATGAGAGAGGCGGCGCGCGTCTAAACCGAACCACGGGATAGGTTTATGATGTATCAACTTTACACGCCAGCCAGCCGTCCAGTGATTTGAAGGCATCAGCACGCAATTGAGCGAAGTATAGCCGGAGGATGGATGAAACTGGAGGGGGGAAAGAGGAATCAAGAGAAGTAGGCTATTGTTTTTTATTATGACAACAGATGAAGCTCAAAGCGTGAACTGACTTGACTGGCCGAGTTGATGAGTGTGGGTTTGTTGGTGATAGATCATTGATAGTGGGGGTCAAGAGACATTTCTATAATATAATATATGTGCGGAGTCCCTTGCTCCGATTATATGCAAGTTGCAGCGATCAACACGAGTCAGTCTTTCTTTTGATTCTAGTAATGATTGAAGTTGAGAAAAAACGACTGCAGGTGTCCATTCTCAACGACACTTGAGCTGCATTCAAAATCACGAGAGGTTATAGGCTGCCCACCCACAGAGACAATGAATCGCCTTGTTGGTCAGCTCAGGCCAGATCAGATCCCGCTTGCAACTGTACAGCACAGTAGTCTGCTCTGTTTTTGCCCGGCCCCAGAGGAATCACGTCGACTTGGTGCTACGTCAAGCTTTTCTTTTCCACTTTCTATTGCGTTCCAGGTTCGTGGGATTGCAGTGGTGCATCCTGTGGGGGTACAGGCTTCTGTAGTTTGGTGGGTAGGACAAGAGATGACACAAGACCAATAAAATGAGCTTGTCGACCGGTCAGACTGTGGGAGGAGAGTTTCTCATTACTTCCTGTAATACCTACTGGGGCTGTAAGGTAACCTGCAGGCAGTCTAGTAAAGCATATTGCATCTCGTCAGGTCTGGTGACAACTTGACACTGCTAGACAAGGCAAATAAACGAGCAAGGTCAAGCCAAGCCAACAGATGACAAGTAGAATCAAAGCAAATGTTATGAGAAGGAGGGTGTAGTTTCTTTCTGGTTTGAGACAAGCACAGTCAGGTTGGTATAAAGTAGAAGGCCTCATATTTTCCCCATGATGAGTGTCTAAAGTCAAGACCGGTCAAGAAATAATTGCTGCACATTGTCTCAAACTTGGAAGGTGGCCCCGACACCCGCCATTCGTTACCTTGCAAGTGATTTTCGGTCTACCTGTTGCGCAGTACCTAATGTATACACATGCATATTATCCTACATGGCAATAGACCAAGATTTCCCGAGATATCTTTTTCTTCTTTTTTGCCCGATGCTCCTGGCTGGTTACGCAGAACATCGTATGGGATCAATCATAGCCACCCACTGTTTCACAAATGCTGTGTAACGACAGATATCTCAAAATGATCCAGGTTTGCGAAGGTAATATATCGGGCTGGGGTAACACAAGAAGCAGGCTGTGGTTTATACATACCTGTATAGTGCTGTGACACGACAGAACCGTGCCATCCATTGTAATTACCAATGATCAGCTGGGAAGGTAACGTAAGAAAGACTCTCGTGATGGGGATAATGGAGCACTTGGTTGGGTCTGCAGGTCACTCAGTGTGGACAGCTGTTGCAGATGCGTTGTCGCTTATTACTATCACTGAGGAGATGACCTTTTGCTCCTCCTGTTATACCTGACGACTATATTTAGACGAGGTATTGTTTGAGAGACATGTGAATAGTAATACCAAACAAGATATTGAAAGTCAAGATTGGTTGACAAATGCTTATCTGAGGATCAAGAGAGTGTTATGTCCTGCTTCATACTGACCGAGGTCCCTGTATGTAGTAGGTCTGTCTGCATGCATATCTCAATCGGGAATCTCATTGCTAGGATCTCGGGCAGAAGTGTTCAGGGATGGCAATGGGCGGACAGGCGGGGAGTACATGACTAGGGCAAAGCTGTCCACCATGTAAAGAATGGATACGGGTATTCCATGCATGATGCATCCATGGCATGCCGCTATTTGGTAGGGCATTTCACATACTTATGGCTATCCTTGGTATCCATATAATTGCATACATAGGGATAGTAGTATCCATCCATTGATTAGTTTAGTAGTAGGCGGATAGGCTATACTTCTAGCAAAGACAGGGGCTTCGGAGTTGAGGAAGTTAGCCTCGGGCGTTATTGAAAATCAACATGATCTTGCCTTGGTGACAGGTACCTATTTCTATATTTTTGTACGAGGTAGATTTATGAGAGAGTGAGGTGGTAGTAGGTACCTGAGCCAGGTACCTCTCCTCTGATCTGGTGCTGCGCGCCAACCCGCTCACCCGCTCCCGCCGTTCAGATCGAGCCCGTCACTAGCGCCCGTCTAGGGGATGGAAAATGGAAGGCACAGCCTTGGTTCGTGTCTATCTTCGTGACAAAGGATAACTGCCAACAGAGTCGAGTCAGTCATTGTTATAGATATAGTGTACAGATGCATTGTATATCTTACTTATATGTACATTGTTCAAGTATTGCATTGAAACTCAAAGCGGAATAAAAAGGAATTATCTATATACAGAAACACTTAGTACCGGTTGCCGAAATCCAAAGCTAGGTACGCTACCTCCGCTACTTTGCACCTTCCTAGGTCATTTTCATTCATTCATCCTGGTCTTCTTTTTCGAACCCAGCCCACGCCCATGGTTCCTTCCTTTCCACTTCACACCTTCCATGCCCACCTTGGTAGCCTTCATTTCCGTCATCACAGCAAAGAAAGAGGTGGCGCTGTCAGCTTAATCCGTCGAGTACCTAAGCAGGGTCAAAAGGCTGAAACAACTTGCTTAGGTATGTAGGCATTTCAAGTACACTACTTCTCAGTACTAGGTTATTAGGTAGGCACTGTCTGACTGTAGCTGGCTCAGTTCAGGTAGCCGCGGCGATTCCCGGAGTTGATCCCTCCGTACCTAGATGCGGGCAGCCTTTTTAGGTGTTTCTTTGTTGTGGCTACCGTGGGCTAGCTCAACTTATTAGTTCACCCTCTGACTTTAGTAGGCCCACGCGCTTTCGAATTTCATCATCTATCATGTCGACCTTGAGTTTCTCATATTCGACAAACTATACCACGTTCCCTCTGGTTCCCCTCGTTCGCCCATCACGCCCAAAACATCGCATCGCATGATTTTGACACTCTCAGCTCAACTCTCGACTCTGCTTCGCCGCACTCTAAACCGACCCTTGCCTCAGACCTTCTTGTCATTACTATAATACCACATGTGCCCTATCCCGCGCACCCTTGTTGGCATTGCGTCTGGATATACCGTGTCGTATGGATACTCGGCATATCAGTAGACCACAACCAACAAACAAAGTACATAACGTCCAAACACCCCAGCATTGTACAATACATGCGCATCCTTTGACACGATACCCGCTCCTTGGCCTCATCCACCAACTGTTGACGCCAACGACAGGCAGCTTGACGCGCTATCTTGTCTAGTCTAATTCACTGTAGTCCACCACGATCTGCAGCCCACCTTGACTGTTTCTACCGTACAGCACCGTCGCCGCTCTAGCTTGGAGCACCCCCTCCCTCCATCCTCCATCATCTTCGGATCAGAGACAATTGTCTCGCTATTAAAAAGTAACAACTGCCAATCTGCCTAGACCGCCAACACGCTTCTAGCACGCGAGCGAATCCAAGCCTCTCTGGCCTTTTCAGCCCCCCCTTTTGGATCTTGACTATACTATATGCAGAAGCCTTCTACCACTCGTTCAAGGGCCATACTGTTGTAGAAAAACTCCGGCTTTCCCCTACACTTTGGCCCCGAGCTGATCCTTGGTCTCACGATGCGCCGAGCCGCTCCCAACAAGTCCAAGAACCGATCACTCGACATACCTCCACCAGTCGCGAATTCGACACCAGCGATCGCTGATTCGTCTGTGAATGTTGTCGAGGCTCTCCGGTGGGATGAGGCCTTCCAGACTGATCAGCACCAATTTGTCAATACCGTAGCTATTGACGACGACGCCCACGACATCGAGACATATTCACAGCCTCACGGCAACCAGTCTCAGTATAATCACATCACCTACTACACTCCCGATCAGTCCTATGCCGTTCAGGAACCCGTGATCGATTCGCCCATGACAGATGCGCTCCCCGCCGAAGTCGACGCCGTCTCCGCTATCGCCGCCGCCACTACGGCTTGTTTCGCTGTAGGAACCGCCGATTCTACAGGTTTCACCACATCTGGGTTCGTCCATCAAAGCAACTACAGTCAATACACCTCGAATACATATGCCCATGTCTACAACTCTGAATCAGAACCCCTCGAGCCCGATTCTAATTCAGAGTCCGACTTAGATCAAGATCAAAACCAGGAGGAGGGAGACGATATTGACTTGGACGTTTCTATCCATGCCCCCCAACCAGAAGATCCTTGGACCTCTCCTACACATCTTGACTTGCTCCCCGACTATAATACACATTACCATAACCTTGACTATGACCCTGAAATGAGCGATAGTGAAGGAGGAGCCCCCTTGAACGACGACACTTTCAGCGAACCTCAACATCAAACAGACAATCAACATTCTCTTCCACAGGAGAACAATGAAGAGACGGTCTCCGTCACAACCCCATTCAATCATATCCTACAACCCTCCACCGTAGCTGATATCGATCTAATTATGGACGCCGTTCCACCACCAGCACCATGGGACACCATGCCTGGCGATAACATGACCGAGCCGCCTCAGGCTCAAGCCCCCGAGCCAGCAAGTCCAATTGGGCTTCCCTTTATCAGCAACCCTAATCCGGCTATGTTTGGGTCCGAAAACTTGGGCCTGGTTGATTTTCTAAGACACTGGGCATATCAGGCCCGATTTGCTTCATCGTCCCTTGCGCCACGGTTGAACGCACCCTGCCCGGAAGATATCCGCCGTCAAGCACAGGAAACCCCTCGTGAGATCCGGTACGATGACCTTCTTGGTGATCGATATGATATGCAGGGCTTGGACTGGAATTCCATGAATACCACTCGGAGGTATGCGCGTCAGAGACGCAATGACACTTTCAAGAATTACGTCAACAAGGACGGCTCGGATAGATGGAGTGTGAGTAACTACTGCTCTGCGTTTGCTTCTTTTGAGGTTTCAACTACTGACCTAAATTCCAGCCTCACATGGTTGACGTTGACATCCCATCTTCGGAGAGTTTTATGAGATTCAAGAGATACATCGTTCGCCGAGATGTCTACCTTGCTCATTTTCAGCTTCGCAGTGTCTTAGCTTGTCCATCGACCTCACAAGTCTACTACCCCCGTAACGAAGGAGTCACCCGTATCAACCTCACTTCAGGGCAAACTGAGGTTGCACTTCACAACAATTATATGACTGGTCTTGGGACTCTTATTTCTACCCTTGACGCAAACCACGGCGCCATGTTCGCAGGAACCTTTAACGGGGAGTACTATCTCAAAAGCTTGGATTCCAATGATAAAAAGGATTACTCTGAAGGCACTATCACTGAACACCTAGGAGGTATCACCAATCATGTTCAAATTCACAAGCCTCGGCAGTCCTCCGCACCTGTCGCTGCCATCTCTAGCAACGACCATGGGTTTCGTCTTCTGGATCTCAATACACAGCAATTCGTGATGCAGAGTAGGTATCGATTTCCACTCAACTGCTCACGCATCTCTCCCGATGGTCGACTGAGAGTCATGGTTGGGGACGACTTCAAAGCTCTCATCACTGATGCCATCACTGGTGAGATTCAGCAAGAATTATCCGGGCATCGTGATTATGGCTTTTCTTGCGACTGGTCTGATGATGGCTGGACAGTAGCTACCGGTTTTCAAGACAAGGGTGTCAAGATTTGGGATGCTCGCCGCTGGTGTGATTCGAGGGGAGTAAGCACCCCGTTATGCACTATCCGGTCTGAGATGGCAGGAGTACGAAATTTGCGCTTCTCCCCAGTTGGAAGCGGCGAAAGGGTGCTCGTCGCTGCAGAAGAGGCCGACTACGTCAACATCATCAACGCTCAAACATTTGGCAAGAAGCAAACTGTCGACATTTTTGGCGAGATTGGCGGCATTGCTTTCACAAATGATGGACAAGACCTCAATGTGCTAGTGAGCGACAGAGATCGTGGTGGTCTCCTCCAGCTCGAACGATCTGGCCTTGGACCCGAGCCTTACTTCCGCAATTCCTGGCGCCGCTATCACGATCATGCAACAGATCAATGGCGTTATCGAAGTGACGAATATTCACATCTTGGTGAGCCCTGCCAACGCAGACAAATATCAACAGATGCTTTGCCTATCTTCTAAAGCACTATATCTCTACCTTTTTTCTTGAACCTAACGCCTCGGAACGTACGTCTTTGGCTCAGCTTTCCTATTATATCCACTCGACCTTGGTGGTCGCTCCCATTTATCTGGAGCGTTCTTTTTCTACTAGCACTATACCCCTTTTGTTATGACTTCATCCATCTGGCGTGCCGATTATATATAGGTAACGATGATTCACTTAAGGGGAAAAGCAACATAGCCCCTTAGCTATAAAGCTGCTTATCATGCTACTATTGCAGATTTTTCTTGTCATGATTTCCATCCTGTAGCATGCAGGCCGATTATCCTTGAAGGCGTTAGACACAAGTACGATGGCATCGGGCATCTGCCCTTTCTCTTGGGAGACATGTATTTTATAGACTGGACGTATTATGAAAAATTCAGGACTTGCGAACGAATTCGGAAATGTCATGTACGAACAGATTGCAGCCCAATATGCTGCAGTTTGGGGATTTAAGTAGAAGTGTTGAATACAGATCAACAATACCATCAGTTACATAGGCTCGCCGTTCAAAGTCAAGCACCCTATGACAAGCATTATTTGGCCTGTCAATACATACGTGCTGATACGTTGGTAGATCGGTCAAGCCTCACACGTCTAGCTCTGAGACAAACACGAATTCGGGGAGAGACCCGGGCTATGGCTGGAAACTGATCACAGGCTCCGAGACACGAGGGTTTCATCGCCATTCCGAATCTGCTATTGCCCGTTCGTTCACTCCCTGACCGATATAACGTGGCTTTTGTTCCTTCCTCTTTTCTCTTTTCCTCTTGAGTCATTGATCAAGATATCAGAGACAAAGCGTCACATATCCGCTATGAGCTATTTATATCTGGTGACATGAAACTTACGCCACTCCCTCTACTTGTACTCGGTGCCATGTCGACTAGCTCTCCATTCAGGCCTCATTCACATCTAACGAACTGGCGATATGTTATTAACAAGCCATCCTCTTCTTCATAGATTACGAGCAGCGTCTACCTCGCGTGACCTAGATTCTGTTCAAATGGTCTGGTTTTACCGCTGAGACGCTCAATTGCAAAAGCCGAATCTCGTCTTCATTGAGAGTTCTGAGTGGGTTGACGTTAGGTACACACAGCTGATGCCCCAGCGCCTTGATACGTACACCATGCATCTTACATCATAAGAAACGAAACACTCTTGGCCTTTCTTCCCTCCAGATTGCCGTCAGTTGGAGTTTATAAATCCCAGCTGGTATTGCAGGAGTTTATTGGGCTCAGCATATATATAATATCTGCATGAAAGTATATATATAAACATAACGAGCAGGCACGATAAGTAGATAAATGCAATGGCTGTGATATATTGAAGAATTATAAGGTAAATACTAACGACAACCCAGCTATAGTGTGCATTACAAGTAAAGAACAGCTCTCCTTAAGAAAACAGTATGCGCTTTCTGCTTCGCCCAAAAGCCGTAGGGACGCGTATATCGTCAAAGGTTGGCGAAAATTACACGCAAAATAGTGGCAAAGAAACAAAAACTCATAAATTCAAGTGAAGAATATATCAGATGCAGGTTTCATCAAGAAATAAACATCCTCAGATGTTTGGGATAAAACGTGTCACTAGATGATGAAGAGGAGCGGAACAAGAGTAGGTTGAGAAGTAAATGGCCTAGCAGCGTCGGTCATGAATTAATTATATACAACATTCCAACATGTTCCAAAAGTTGAATCGTACAGGACGCTTGAGTATGCCATATTCAAAACTGGAGATCCTCCAAAAGGGCTTAGTAACCGCCGATGAAAGAAGACTTGCAACCCCAGCTTCGCTCACAGTTGCAGTCACCGGGCTCCTTCCAGAGATCGTCCTCGTAGGAGAAGAATACAGTCTTGTCACCACAGGTCTTGCGGATGGACTTAATAGCCTCGGCCTGCTCCTTCTTACCGGGGCAAGCAGAGCCGTTGCACTCGCCAGCAGAAGGCCAGCCGCACTCCAGGTTGATGACATCGTTACCCTTGCAGATTTCGCTGAGGAGGTCAAGCTGACCCTGGACAAACTCACCAGCGCTCTGGGGAGTAACCTCGGAGTTGAAGTAGGGGTGGATGTTAGCACCGGTGACATCGACAACACCGCAAATGGCGCCCTTGACGTCCTCTCGCTGCCAGATGTTGAGGGTCTCTGCGATGGTGTAGGGACCGTTGTAACCGGAACACTTCTCCTTGACGACAGAGATCAGCTCGGCGAGCTCATCGGGAGAGCAGAAGTTGTTCATGATAGCCTCGTTACCAACGGTGAAAAGCTTGACCTGATCCCACTGAGCCCACTTGGCGAGAGCGTCGACCTGCTCCTTGATCTCGGGGGTCTCGTAAGTGCAGCCAGAGGCCTTGACAAAGACACCAACGATCATCTCAATACCGTACTTCTTGCAAGCAGGAGCAACAGTCTCGAGGGTGTCACAGTCGGTAGAGTAGGAGCGGATGATCTGGAAACCAGCATCCTTGAGGGCAGCAATATCCTTATCAACTTGATCGCCAGACTTGCACTTGCCAGTGGAGGACTCGTAAGGAGTGTAGGTGATACCGTAGTGATCGTTTCCACCCTTCAGGTTACCGGGGTTGGAAGGCTTCTTAGGGGTCTCGGGCTTAGGCTTGGGCTTAGGGGCCTCGGAGGGCTTCTCGACAGCGGGCTCGGTGTAGGTAGGGGTCTCGGGGGCAGAGTAAACAGGCTTCTCGGGCTTGGGGACCTCAGGGACAATGCTGGGAAGATCGTACACGGGAGCAGTAGGCTTCTCCTCCTTGGTGGTCTCGGGTTGAGGCTTAGGGGCCTCGTAGACGGGCTTGGTCTCTTTGGGAGGCTGAGGCTTAGGAGCCTCAGGAACCTGGGTGGTGGCAGGAACACCGGACTGAGAGTAAGGGCAGACGTAGACGAAGTCGGTCTCGGTGACGGTGACGACCTGCTCGGGAGCAGTGTAGGTTCCAGGGACGTAGCTGGTGGGGACAGGGTAGACGATAACGGTCTCCTCCTCGCAAGTCTTGGTGATGGGAGCAATGGTGTAGGTACCAGCAGAGGGGCAGACGTAGGTGGTAGTCTCGATAACGCTGGTAACGACGCCGTCGTGCTCGGTCTCCTTAGCGTAGGGGCAGGTGACGGTGGTAGCAGTCTCGACAATGGTGGTGACACCTCCCATGGTGTGGGTTCCAGCAGGAACCTTGGTGGTCTCACCAACACAAACGGTGGTAGACTCGGTCACAGTCATGGTGGTGGCAGGGAAGGTGTAAGTGCCGGGAGTAGGGCATTTGTACTCCTGAGGGGTCGGGATAGGGACAACGACCTTGGTGGTGGTGGGAGCAACAGGCTCGGGAGCCTCGTAGGTTGGGGCCTCATAAGCAGTGGTGGGCTTAGGCTTAGCAGCCTCATGAGTAGTAACGGCTTGCACGGTGGGCTTGGGGGGCGAAGGGGGGTTGGGAACAACTGTATCAGTCAGTATCTAGTTGTGCAAGAGAACAGCAGCCCGTGAAGAAGAACTTACGAGTAGGCTCGCCATAGTAAGTGGTCCAGATGGTGGTGCAGCTGGGAACGCAGACCTCTCCACCACGACGGAACATCTCATGGGCACGTCGGTGGTGAGGGTAAGCAGCTTGGGCACCAGTGGCCATGGCCGCAACGGCAGCAGCAGCAAGTCCTCCCTTCATTGTGAAGACGAGGATGGATATTCAAAAAACTTAAAACAAGTTGGTTTGTAGTTGGTAAAGGAAACGAATGCCCGCTGAAAGAGTGAAGCGGTAATGAGGGTATACGGAAACGAAAGGACGAAAGCGAAGATTAACAAGGTGCTCTCTAGATTCGCGAAGGATAGAACCGTGAGGAGAAGGAAGACCAGAAGAAAAGAGCAGGAAAAGAGCGGCGTATTAAATGAAGATCATTCATGGGCACGTCAATATTCCCTCTACCTGCGACCTGGTCTGCTGGGCCTTGGCTGCAGTGCCCAGAGGGCCATCGCATTAACACAAGATGACCTAACCGAGAAAAGTGGTTTGATGGTACCTGAGACGATGCAAGATATCGGCGCCAAACGCCAAAAATTCAGGTACCCGTCCACCCCTGGCCAGGTGCCCTGTGGACTGTGATGCCCTGTGCCTCATGAAATTAGCTGGGGTCATGAGTTGTCCAGTCCCGAAACTGGACAACCGTTGGTGCAATGCCGAACATCATTGCCATGACAGTTCAAGAATCCCCAGTATCTGACCAGGGTTTCTGGACGAAAAGGAGAACGGTGTGGAGCACGGGGCACGATGTAATCTCGTGGTTTCGACCGGCTCCGGGGTTTCTCGATGCCATGTCTGTTCTGTCAAATAAGGCCGTTGTCTTGATGATAGCTGGATGGGCCTAGACCAATCAGCCGATGGTTGAGGTTACCTTTGCTGAAGGGACTTGTCACGAAGCGACATTATCTCAAGAACGAGGCTCCTTTGCCCGCTGGTTGGTCACTTGATTTGCAACCAGGGGATTCGGGATGAACAAACCTCGATAAATAAACTGGAGATGAACACATATGGGTATCCTAAAATATCTTTTCCCGCCTGGCCTCTCCTTTTGCTGTCTTGTTCGGTCTGTCGAGTGCCGTTTTGACCTTGCAGGCTGGATGTAAAGTTCCATTTATATAATGATCCTCATATAAATCGTCTCTTTGGGGTTTCATATTCCCTAGGAATCAGTCGGCTCGTCGGGCGAGTGGGGCTCTGATATTGTTCCTGCATCTGCCAGTGTCCTCATGGTCCCCTCAATTTACCTTAGCGGGGGTGGCTTCGCGATTGGGACACTCCATCCAGGGGTTCTTAGTGACGTGCAGCAACTTTTGCCCACCAGTTTTGGCCAAATTAGCGGGCTATATCATCCATAATATCATGTCAGGTCAGTTGGGTTCGCAAGCCACCCCCGAGAAGCACAAGACACAATCTGCAGCATATCTTCTGTCATTTGCGGGGAAATAACTCAATGATTGAACCGGTAAAGCTGGGGACCAAAGCTTGTTGGTCCGGTCTAGTCTTTTGTGCTGGTCGAAACAGCTAAGGCTGCTAAGCCCAGACCTAATATCGCGCGGATTGATAACATGATCCTTGGATCCCAAGCTCAGATTGCGTTTCGTATTTATCGTCGTCGCGTAGCATTTTCGACTTGCCAGAACAGAAGCCATGGAATTTTGCCAGCTTCTCTCACAACCGCTGTAACCAAAAGGCCGAGACCATCGCGTTAACCGAAAGATGTTTTCATGCCCTGGCCTCCTAACTCCTATGCTACCCTGCCCTTTGTTGAAACTGTAAGCCAATAAGCAAGCAGCCTGGGGAGGGGGATTGTTGTGTCGATCCTAACGGAATCATCTTGTTGGCAAATGAAGAGAATCTCACGCGTCTCTTGGCTCTGAGCGGTCAGAGTACCTTTCCAATTGGAGAAGGTCTCTCCTCAAAAGGGGACTACTCGCCGATAGCTAACCCAAGGCTAAAATCATTTGCCGACTTGATCAAGATGGCTAATAACCAGCACGCTTGATCAAGGTAAACCCCCTTTTGTTGTTGTTGACAAGTGCATCGACAGATGGGCCACAAAGGTTGCGTGAATTAGTCACGATGATTGTATTGAATGTAATTATCTTGAATTTCATCCAATATGGCGAGATGCATCGGTTGCTTTAAATGAGAATCAATGTATGATTGATTGACTTCAATTAAAGTGGAAAGAGTCATGTCATGTGACACTGCGACTATGGAAATCGCCAACACGGAAAGGCAAATTTTTCAGCCTCGCGCCGGCGTCAAGAAATTGAAGAAAGTGCCTTTCTTTGAAGGCCTTGATAAAATACACCAAAGAGGGGGAAAATGTTAAGATCGTCAAGTCGGTCTTATGTTTGCTGGAAGTGTGTTTCGCACAGCCGCAACGGCTTGCGATCCTCGCTTCCATCGTCTGTGCAATCTCTGAACAGAATACATCAAGTTTGTTACCCTGAATACCACTCCAAAAGTGACATTCTCTAACTATGATCCCAGTACTCTACTGTTTCTCCTAACGAGAGACATCGTCAAAATGCATATGGACAATCGTACATTCCCACTTCTCTGTCTCAACCTTCGGCCTCCATAGATAAGAGGCCGATGCGAGAAAGACTACGAGAATGGACTGCCACGAATGATCCTGAGAGAGAGGTAACTCATATCATTCCAGATATCTCATTTTGGTCACACGTAACCAACAGCGTCACTCGCCCTCAATCTACTGGCTCCTCCGAGTTGGACAACTTCAAGGCTGAATCAGTAGGCATGGTCGATGGCGTCGAGGCTATCGCCGCGGATGAAGCTGAAGTTTCCATTGTTGGACACAAGAGCCAAACACCTGGTGATCTTGTTGAGATGAAACAACCCGGCTCTCGAACACCTCTGTTCGGTATATACTTGGGGTACTTCGGCAACAGGCACCATTTCTACACGAATTCTGGCCGATGGGTCATTAGCTTGGGCTTCGCTGCCATATTTTCTGTTTCCAATTTCGTCCCCGCCAGCCATCTAAAACCGGTTCTTGACTTGATCCCCGTGAATGCTACTGCGGACCAGTACGAAGAATTGCGCAATCAAGAAAAAGGTCCTGGCCGAGACGTTGGCGCTCATCTGATCGCAAAAATGAAAAGGTTCATCTTGGAAGCAGACCGGGCCTACCAAGCAAGTCTCAACAGTCTGGACAGGGCCAGATCTCTAGTCTCGGATGGGAAGAAAACCAAGTATCTCAGCTTATTTGAGATGGCAGACTTGCTGCTCCCCCAAGGTCTCAAGCAGGGCAAACAGTTCCCCCCTCCTGCGTTGTACGCTGTTCATACCGCTCTATTGCGTAACGATTTTATCTTCCGGCCAGTAAGTCCATCGCCTGACTGCCATAGGAAAGACCACCTTTTCGAGATCTTTCCGTACCAGGACTTCATGATGATCAACCGTGTGGCTCTCATGGTCCGGGAATACATTCACCTAATGGGAAGATCAGGGGGCAAAATGTCCAAGGTAGAGCTGGCCGGAACGGCTTTTGGCACGTTTATTCTGAGAGCACGAGAAATTGTCCTTGCCAATCGAGAAAAGCGTGCTTGGACGACGCACGGAATTCTTGCTCCCACATCAGGGGTTACTATCCAAACTACAGACTGGTCAAGGAAGCACGTTGAGTTTATTCGCTTTCTAGAATGGTGGGCTAGCTATCATCTGTTTGAGGACTCTTCGCACTTCCATGCGGATGGCTCTCTTCTGCTTCGGGCCCTAGACCTGTACGAAGGTGCCAGGCTCGATCAGAGTTGCGCCTGGACATTTCTACAGGAATTGGGTATAATCTCCCCATGGGAGATTCCTTCTCGATACAAGGTCCGTTTCCCAGAAGTCAAGATCCAGGGCGGAGGTGGCCTCATCCGAGAAACACCAACCAATCTCGAAGATTCGATTCGGTCGGACATTGCAGAGGGCGCAAGAAGAGAGTGGACTAGCGATACGATTTTCTGCATTGATGCTCCGTCGACAATTCTTATCGACGATGGTATCTCTTTGGAACGCACCAAGAAGCCTGACGAATACTGGCTTCACATTCATACAGCCGACCCAGCGTCAGGAATCAAACCAAATTCCGAATTGGGCCGGTTCTTGGAGCTGATTCCCGAGAACATTTATCTTCCTGGTCATTTCCAAGCTATGCTTCCCCAGGAAATTGGCATCGATAATTCGGGAGACTACAAGTCTGAGAGTTTGGTCGATCAGTACTCTCTTGCCAAAGGCAGGCCTGCTCTCACATTCAGCGCCAAGGTAAACGAGAACGGAGATTTGCTTGATTACAAGATCGAGCCAGGCACCGTCCACAACGTCAAATACTTGGATCCAGAGGATGTTAGCCAATTTTGCAACGATCCTCCACCGCCTGTCACGTCTGATCAGACTCTTGTTGTTGGTCAGCTCCCCGACAAAGCAGACGATCCACCAAACCGTCCCATGGTATCGGCCAAGGATTTGGACGATAAGAGCAAGGAAGATCTCCTCTTATTGCATCGTCTTGCAGGAGCCATCAGAGAGAAGCGTCTCCGGAAAGGAGCATGGCCAGTCTTTATAGGAGGCACTTCCGTCACCGTCAAAATGGGAAATGTGCCACTGGAGCAAGAGGAAGACACCACAGTCTTGCCAGCTGACCCTTACATCAAGGTTAGCCACGACACGTTCAACGGTGCGTCTGTGGTAGGAAACACCATGGTACTCGCCGGTGAGATTGCTGCTCGATGGTGCAACGATCGCAAAATTCCAGTTCCTTACCGACGAGATGCGCATTCGGAGAAAAACATGCCCAGACTACTCGACTATGCCACTAAGGAGCTGTATCCTCTTGTGTACAAGGGCATCTCGCCATCGGCCGGGCAGCGTCAGGAACTATCACGCATGACTGGCGGTGTTGAACTGTCTACAGAGCCAGGCCCATACTTCATGCTCGGCTTGGACATGTACACCAAAGCCACTTCCCCTCTTCGCCGCTTCTCTGATCTCATTGTTCATTGGCAAATTCACGCGGCATTAGCACATGAGCGCGAGTTGAAGCGCAGCATGGACGCTGAAGCTGATCATGATCTGAACGACATTCTGCCCTTCACTAACGAGACACTCCCCAACACACTGTCTCTGCTACGTATGAGGGAGAAGATGGCCCGGACCGTATCTCGCGGTACCAAGGAGTGGATGCTGATGGCTCTTGTGCGTGCTTGGAAGTTTGAGAAGACAGCACCGAAGCAGCTAGGTTTCACAGTCGATGCCCGCTGGAAACAAGGTGTGTCTGGCAGGATTGATCTGTTCGACCTATCGGCCAACCTCACCATTGATGGCATTGATGGTCTCGTGCTCGTCAAGAACATCAAAGTGGGGGATAAGTTCGACGTTGAGCTGGCCGATGTCAATGTTCACTCTCGGCAGATCTTCGTCAAAGCGCTCAAGCACTATCCCAATCCCAATCCCAATAGCCAGCCGGCACTATCCCCGGATTCCCCGGACCCAACCCCGGCCTCGTGAGCTACGCCGCAGGGTCTTTCTCGAACAGTGGCTTTGTTGGGGTAGAAGGTTCCAGGCTTCACCGTCACCGCCTTGACGGCAACAGCATGTCTTGCAGGATTGTGAGCAAGATTGGCGGTGATTTTGTCTCACCTGTTGCGCTTTATCACATCCACTCTCGGATTCTATTTTCAATAGCTCACGGCATAATGCATCGCAGCACTTTGTCGTTGACTGACGTGGAGTCGCTCATTTCTCCCCCGCATTTTCGCACATCCCATCATGTCACCCCACCCCCTGCGTCAGAAACATGGGGTTTCCTTCTAGAGGATTGATTGACAGAACCCTGAAGTTAGTCAATCGAAGTCATGTGGCCGTAAATGCACTGTACAATCACTTATTCTCAGGGGGCACTTCGCCAGGGATCAGAAAACTCGACTGCTGCGAGTATGAGAGACGAAATCAATGAGCCAGTCCATGCTGTTTTGGAGCAGATCATTAGGTCACTTGTTTTTGCACCCTCGAGCTCAGGGGTCAACTTTTCCGTTGCCCCCCGGGCACTGGAACTTGATGATAGATGACCCCTTGCCCGATGTACGTCACCCACCTACCTGTACCATACTGTACCATATTTTCTTACACATACCAACTCAGATTTGGAAAAGTTCTGGTATACAAGCATTAGATGTACAGTAGATCATCCAATTATAGAGACCAAATCCCAAGTACCCTTTCGATGCCAATGTTGCATGTCGCGAGTGACCATCGTCAAACGTTTCCTCACTACCACAAGACAGTAAGCAACGCGACATTCTCGGCTGATAACCTCACTCACAAGACATACCTTCAACCAGCCATACCCCCTGCTTGCAAAAGGTTGATATCATCGATTAATCGGTAACAGTAATTGTCTTTACCCGCGACACTGACATTTGTAATATGCGGCAAATTTGCTAGGGCACGCGTAATGAGGTCACGCGGGCTGAAGAGAACAGACCAGGCCGTGTCCTGTTTCCCCAACAATTTTTTGAGACGTGCATTTGCATGTCAATTGGCGATCGTTGCAAACGAAGCGCTCATTCGCCCGCGAAGAGCTTTCGCCTACGCTTGAGATGTGGCAAATTCAATCCAACGGCGGCCTGTAAAATATGAGCTAGGTGCCTTAGAGAAACTAAGGGCACAGATGATCAGCAAGGTACAAACCAACCTCAGTAAATTCGTCCCTAGTTTAAATGAACCGGCTCCAAGGATCTCAGGTCCATGACTGAATATGATGCAGATGATCTACTTTGGCCAAATGCCATGCATGATTGACATGATGTAAACGTAGTATTATTGTATCTTAGCATGCTTTTGTGTTGGTTTTTGCAACATGTCTCGATTCAGTCCGGTCCGCATGTGTACGTCGTGATCCGACCGCTGCCTTTATGTACAACGAATACAATAACGCACTGAAGATCCGGTCCTGTCGCCATTTGCCGTTTGTGCCCTTGTTCCTTTCTTCTTTGATCCGTTCTTTCCATGGCTTTGCCAATACCGTAGAGTCGCCGTAGTCGCTGAAAAATCAATTGACCCCATATACCTTTGCCTTTGCCATTCCTGATCCGTCCGTAGCCGCCCGGTGCCGCCTTGTGATCCGTAGTACCCACTTGCTTATGGGATATCATGAAGAAAAAAAGCCCTTGCCACAAAGGAAAGACAGGAGCGAAAAAAAAATTATAACGCCGAATATCCACCGGGCCTGTGACCTTCATAATGGTCAATTTCCATTCCCCTGGGTTTGTAGCTGGAGTTTGAGGGCCGGGGTGTCATGGGGCCGGCTGATCCTTTTATGGTAGGCCTAGAAACCAATGGTTGAGGCTTCGACTAGGCAGACCTTGTAAATGACTCCCTTGTCGTGAGGATCCGGTCTTAGCCACCCAGATCCCATCTGCAACACGCACATTGCTTTTCTTTAGCCTTTTGATGTCTGTCCGCCCCCTCGTCAGGCCGTGTATGAGATAGAATCCTATTCCGCTTTCCAGGATGTTGTTATCACCAGGCCCGGTTGTTGATTAGCAAGGCCACGGCATATGATGGTTGCAGTATAATGCCAGGTCAATGCCAATCCCTTCGGAAATCCCTTTATATAGAAACACTTTTGTCGATTTTTGTCATGGCGTCGTTTCAACTCACAAATTGTGAGCCACAAGCATTTGTGCTTGTTCAAATTCCACTGCGTCGCTAAATGAAAGTCGAACGCCAGTATATCCATTATTTCCTCCATCCGACGTTCCAGATAACGTGGGCGATGTCGCGGGCAGTATTGACCGTGTCGATAACGCGGCCAAAAATCCCATCCCCTGATTGTATTTCGCCTTCCTCATAAGGCATAAACATACCCGACGGCGTGCGTCGCATACCCGCAGGTTCCTCGCAAAGGCTGCCTGAAGAGATGGATCTGTTTAGACCGCCATTGATGCCTTCACTAGGTGGTGAAGCCCACCCTGAGCGGGGGCTCAACAGCGCATCATCAAGGCTATCATCATGATCCTCTTCCCCGAAAAAGAACTTTCCGGACTGCTTAGCAGGTCGCAGAGTCTCCTGCGAAGAAGAAGGGGACATGAGCGGGCTTCTAGAGTGCTTCATAGCAGTCTCTCGCGGTTCGGGAGTGTCTTCACGATACTTGAGGGTAGTAGACGGAAGTTTGGCTATTGTCTTCCCTTCAACAGCTGGCTTTGACTTCAAAATCTTGCGTCGGGAGATGGGCCTCTTCTTTGTCTGGACCTGCTTCATCATGACTCCGTCGTCTGAATCACTGTCAGAACCATAATGATCATCGATTGCTTCTTCTTCCTCGTCGCCCTTAATTTCAACAGCTATGCACTGTTCGACTTGCTCGTTGAAATGAATGTGTTTCCGTTCCGCACTGGGAGAAATAACACCAGACGACTCAACCGAAGGAGCGATGCTGCTGCTGTCTCCACTCAATCGACGTGATGCGAAAGGGTAAGCAAAGTAATCTGTGTTAGAACGGCCAAGGTGGGGTCGGAGAATTCCTCGTGTCTCTTGGGCCTTGACAGCTGCGGTGGCTTGCTTCAATAATGAGGCCGTGGATAACGATCGCTGAAGCATAACCTCAGACATACTTCTCTTCTTCAAGATGGGCTTCTTGTTGAGGTTGACAAGTGAGTCAGTCTTGGAAAGCGAAACGCTAGAGGGCTCCGTGTGGGTAGAGTGGGTGTTTTTGGGTCCTGACTGCAGAGGACCATAAAGCCAGGTGACATCACAATCCTTAAGCCTTCTAGATGTAAGTATTTTGATATAACCAGAGACACGCCACGGGGTACAAACCAGTTGAGCGATTCGGGAGAGATAGTCTTGAGGTTGTTCTTGGCCTTCATCCATGTCCTCCAAGAAGCGTTTTCTAACCGCGCGCTGTTGGGAAATTCTCCCCTTCGAGTCACGACATATCGCCATGATGACCAGATGTCCTCTTCTCTCCATTCATGAGACAAGTAATCAACCTGTCGCGAAGGCCTGCTGGAGACTGCAGTATCGTCCTCTGCATGCTCAGACTTTTCGTGCTCGGGTGTTTCAGGTCTTGATGTGTCCTCGGAAGCCTCCTCGGAGTTCTCGTGTTCGGCAGGAGAGACAGTGTAAGAATCGCCTGTTCGTGGACTTGGGGGTGGTTCTAGGTTATCGTCATGGTGTATGTGAGGGTGAATATCTTGGTGAACGAAGAACTTCTCCTGTGCAAAAGATGGGAACATGAAGTGATCTTCGGGTGATTCAGCGAGGCTGATGTGGTCGTCGTAGTCAGAAGCAATGGAGAGGTTAGTGGCGGGGGTTGAGGCGTAGGAGAGATCCACAGAGTCGGCGTGGACCGTACGGGGAGATGAGGGAGCAGATGATGAGTTTGATTCGGCGTATGATTTGGTAGCTGGGCTGTAATGATGGTCGCTCAAATGAGAAGAGGTAGAAAATGGTGAGGTCGAAGAGGCGAAGTTGGATTGTGAATGCGAGCGTCGTAGGCCGGACCCGGCAAAGTAACCGTTATCGTCGGATGGAAGAACGACAGCCATGATGGAGATTAGAGGAGAACCGTTGTGATGTTGTTGCAATGCCGCAGCACCAAGAAGAGGTGGGATTGAGGGAGTCTAAGTTAGAGACTCATGAGTACAAACAAGACAAGACCAAGCGAGATGCCAAAGGTATGCTGTGGAGAAGGGATATGTTGATGGTAAAGTCAAGGTGTAGATGCGGCGTGGGTACGAAGTATAGAGAGAATGGGTTTGGCAATGCGGGTGAGGGGCCAGGCTTATAGCAGGCGCAGAGTCGACCTCACTAAAGTTAACAGCCGACGGGCATGTATGTAAAGCAGAGTAGGTGATAGCCGGGGGGCCCCTTGGGCTTAGGCTTGGGGCAGGTGGACAGGTTCTGTTTGGGGCTAGTTCTAGCGTACCGGAGGAGTACGTAGCGTAACCCGGTGCTTGTTGGTGTGTGTTGTGGGTGTGGGCTTTCGGAATCTGGTTCTGGTTGGGTGTGTACAGCACGGTACAATGGCAGGCCAGGGATGATCTAAGCCTGGTCGAGGCGTGGTGGCGTTGGAGCAACGGAGACCTCCCCAGACCCAGTTGCGGTGACGAAAATCGTGGGGACTGGCCAAGCAAGTCTGGTCTGGCCTGGCGATGGGTCTCTTTGATCTTGGTTCCGTTCTTGGTGGTTTGCTTCTGCACTGCAGTGCACTGCACTGGCACTTCGGTCACCGGCCGGATAGCGGAGGCTTGCGCCCGTTACAATGGTATTGGGTAGATCGTACAGTGGGTGTCTAGCGGAGTGGGTGTCTAGTAGGTACCTTAGTAGGTGCTGCTGTCCCTTATGTTTGTTCTGATTCAGAAGAAGGAGCAGGGTTTAATAAGAGAATTAAAAGGTGAATGAAGCATATACAAATCTAGGGTCAAGTTGATGGATGATGAACATCTAAATAGAAAGAGCGGAGACGAGGAGAGACGAGAAAAGGGTAAGAAGGCAGGCACCTAAAATATAATTTAGGTTTGGGACTTGAGGAAAGGGAACATCAGAAGGGAGAGCGGGGGAGATAAGAAGCCACAAAAACGCTGTTGTCTTATCCTTGAGACCTACGATCCAAATAAGTCAACTACACGCAAACTTAGAGTACGGTGGTACCATGGAAGACCAAGAACCAAGACCAGAAAATACCCATCAGAAAGTCTATCAAACGAGGGACCGATGAAGTGACACTTGAGGGCGTACGACTAGAAAGCCATCTATTCATTGATTCATCCATGTCAAGGTTGAGGAGCAATGAGAGTGAGCCTGCCATCACAAAATCATCGGTAGTTGATAAAAGGAATCCAAACGGTGAAGAGTAGTGTCGTAATTCTGAGTCGATGGGGATAAACACAAACTGCACTGTAACTCTCCTGATAAACTCAACTCTTGACCTCCGCTAAAACAAGAGCAGCTAAAAGAGGCCAGAGGTGTGTCCATCTATCTACATTGTGACTGGCGGGTGAAGACGGGATTTTTGTTCATGTCCAATAGGTACAGTGTCCTGGTCTCCGATCCCATCTTCCATCTTTGGGGCCCTGCAACTTCCCCAGTCCGTCCAGCATCATCCTTATGTGCGCACAGAGGTAGCTAAGATGCTATGCTATGGGGTTAATGCACAAGAGCGAGCTTGCATGGCCGGTCAAGTTTCTAAGCTTCGGCGAGCAGCACATCGACCTCCTTTGGTGTTTAGTCCGCTTCGGTACTGACTGTACCTTTCCTTCGCTGATAAGATGTACGTACCCATATGCCGTATATGCATACTGCACGCGTGTTATGTCATGTTGATTATGGCGACAAAAGTCCAGCAAAGAGGTTCGTTGATATACATTCAACTTGGACGAAGCCAAGGGAGAACAGCTGCTTGTGTCGAATCGAATCTAGCCTGCGGGCTCTGTCCTTGGCTCATGTCTTGCACAACAGCTATCCAAAAAGGTGTCTACATACTGTTGCGAATAGTGACAGATCGGCCTGCAGCTATGAGCCACTGAGGTAACTAGCGATAGTGTCGTTTTGGGATACTGAGGATGGCTTTGTCTCAGGCGATTTCGACGTCAACCCCGATTCTAGAGTTTCAAATGTATCGGCTGCAATTTGTCGACAAGGGCAACGTCAACGTCAAAGGCATGGTCGAGGTACAGGGTACTATAAGAAAGACAACCAGATATGGCTTTGTCCCGGACGTGGGGTTCAAGCCAATGTTACAGAGCGTCAGTTCAATATCAAAGCATACCACCCTCGTAGTACACCAATAAAGGTCATCCTGTTAGGTAGCACGCAAACTCACGCCATTTCCATTGCAAAAGGTCGCTTTATAATTGCCTCTTGATCGGGAATCTGTAGAACAAGATGAGAAGCAGCAGAGAAGGGGGGCGTGGGGGGAGTGTCTCTCAAAAGCGTGGAGGTCTAACATGGGGGCACAAGCGAGCCTCAGTATTGTGGTTTTACCATACTAGGGATCTCGAGATAGGTAGGTAACGTAGCGAGTTTTCTCTACAAAGGCATCTCGTGTATGGAATAACCGTGCACACATGTCTGTGTGTCGGCCAGGTTCTTCTTCAGTCCAAGTTCTAAGAAGGCGATACGATGCTATGCGATACTCCCATTTGAAGTCTGTCAAAGATGAGTTCTCATCAGGAATGTGCAGCCAAGCTTCTGTTTTAGATAATCATTCTGAGCCAATCGACAAGCCTCAGTTCTTGATATAATCCTGTTGCATTTCTTCAACACCACGACGACCTAATACGGAATACGACTCATCCCTTGACTTACGCGACATCTTACCACTGATTCAGCCCTTGAAGCTTTTGGACGCCTACAAGCTCAACCTATGGGATAGATAACCAACGAAACAATGAACCAGTTAATTAACGTCTAGACAAGTGTTTCTAAAAACCCGTAGAGTATGTAGAGAGGTGTTCGATTCCAGCAGAGTCCGTTCGCATTTTAACTTTGGCGTTTGATGCTGGCGCTCGTTGCCCTCAGAAACTCCAGCTCTTCCGAGGGGTAGGTCAGGTCAGGTTCCACAGCCAAAAAGGTAATCAACCGAACAGTCCGTATGTGCAACCCCATGACCATGTTGTAAATTGAAATGCTATGACCTCGAATCGTATGTACGCAATGGCAATAATAAGCCTTCAAGACGAAGTTACAAGGTTGTTTGCGGGGTTATAAAACCCAAACTCTGAGAGCAATTTGCTTCCAAACCCACTCCACGGAATTGACCGTTGCAGGGCAGGAATGACGAGAATCCTACTCTGTGGTAGCGAACGATACTGCACGATATGATATGATGCAAGTGTTGCCATCACGGTAAGAATGTGATCAGGAGATCTTCTCCTGACCGACAAGGGAAGGTTTGAATATATTGTAACTTGGATTTACACTGACAGTAGAGGCATTGCAGGGCAACCGACGCGCGTGATGATTGGGGAACCGGCTGAGACGAACCATCTTGGGTCAGGTAGGTAAAGCCTCACCCTGGACAGTTGACAAGCACGACATCCATTCGTATGTACGGATACATAACAGGCGCTTTCAGATGGCCCGGGCTTTAAGATTTTTGCCTGGTTCTACTTTCGGCTGAATCGAGAGTCCGGGCCCGTTTCTGTGCCAGAAACCGAGACAGACGAGACCATGATGAGTCTCAGTCTCGTGATGAGAAAGAAAATGAAATAAACAATTAAAAAGTGGTCTAGAATGGAGGTTAGTTCTGGTCAGCGAAACAACATGGCTTTTTTGCAGGTGGAGGAGGAGGTGCTGTCTAATACAACGCCTTGTACGGGAGATGTCCGAGTCAATATGGCACTGCAACTCTGTTGTGCTCAACTCGTGGACAAAAGGGTGATATGGATTATGGGTTATAGATCATGTCTAAAGTTTGAAGCCATCTACTTTTACTCTCCCGTGATAGCCCAACTAAACCTGATCCTTCACTGGAATGTTCATTTGAGACAGCCGAGTGCAAGCAGAACAGAGAGTCAGTCTCTTGACAAAGTGAACCAGGGTAAGGGGGTGCTTCACTGAAAGGGGCCCAGCGGAACGGTCCAACCTAGACAGCCGACCCTGTCTTGTCCTCCGGGGGTCCACGATTAGTTCCCCCGTCGAAACCGAATCCAGGGGATTGGACGGGCAACTCTTTGACTTTTGGGGCCTGAACAAGGGGGAAAGATGGCCAAGGACCATGAAAGACACTCGACAAGGGTCCACATCCACAGCAGGGGCACATCGTGGGATTTTTTTATGAATTTTTTTTTTCTCTCTAATTTTTTCTAATTCTTTTTTAGTCAATCGCTTGGCTTCGCTTGGACACCTTCGCAACTGCCCGACAATACATAGCGGGGATTATCAAGGGCCGAATAAGTTCCAGAAGCCTCTTACTTGGTTGTATTTTTTTTTTTTTACCACAGCTTATTGCCCCCTTGCTTTAATTATTCAAAGCAGCTAGTTTATTTAATTTGGTTTTAATTCATTTTATTTTATTTTATTTTTGCAATTAGTGGTTCCATTGGATCGGATATCATCGTCAAGAAACCTCCAAACCCAAACAAATGTGATACATTGAAAAGGAAGGAAATTTTTAAGCCTCTTTCCAAGGAGATCCACTCCACAACAACATCTCTGCGTTGCTTTGGCAAACGTTTTCCCCTCCTCTTCCCACCATGTATGTCTCACTCTCATGCAGGGCTCTGTCTTAACCATGGTTGAATGACTGACTTAGGTACCTAACGTCATTGCTTGTCATTTTTGCCAATTCACATCTCGTGGCGTTGTGCCCTGCCCTTGATGAAACCCGTACACAAAATTCTGCAATCCCAATTATATTTGCAGAAACATCTTATTCAGGACTCTTGCATATACAACCTTGGTCTCTCTCGATTGCTAAGCTGACTTGGTAGCTAGCTGTATGGGTCCTCCACATCCTTCCTGATTATAAACAGGGATGAGAGAATTGCTGTGAGCTCCAGTAAACAAACTCGGAGTTACTGCAATAGATCGTAGCAGCTGTAGTTGTACGTACGCCTATAGCCATCATCATCCTCGACTTGGTTGGATACGAACCTAAACTTCTGGAGCAAGATGATGTTTAAGCGCCCGCTACCATCCGTGATGGATTATTTCCCCTCAAATCCACATCAGCTCATCCAAGTGCTCCATAGTCCTAGGTCTCGATCACATCACATCAGCCGGCGCGGCAGCGAGTGCTGGCTGGTTTGAGGCTGAAGAGAACTGGAGATAGCCTCCACCATCGATTCGATTGTCTTCGGAGAGATAAATGTTATTAGTGGCTGTGCGGGCACCAACCTGGAACTCTACTGACGCCAATAAACTCAATTCCTTAGGGGTCAAAACGTAATACCACCCACTGTGGCATTCAGCCCATGTTTCGGGCGCTGTAAAAGTCTTTAGAATATGCGGTGTTGGTTGCCGCCTTATATCCTCAGCCTCTTTGCTCTAATGCTCTAATTTGGTCTTGGATAACGTTACATGATACTTGCAAACTTTTGAGAGGATACGCTTCGTCAGAAGCCAATTGGAATCTCAGGCCGTTGTCCTTGTTATTTCTGTCATCAATTACACGTCCAGCTTCTGGACTTGGTCTTGTTAATTCGTTTACATGCCTGTGCCAAGCCAATTCTAAGACCAACTATCATACATGCAGACGGTCTCAACCGTACCAGTCGAGATACTCACCGATACCGTGTGTGGCTTCGTCGCTTCCTCGGTCGCGCTTGGGTCTTCGTTACATCACAGGAAAGGAATGCACTCCTACGGCTATCGTGATAAAGTCACGGCATTCCTGAGCGTCAGACTGTTTTTATATTATTGATGTAATTCCACATATGGTATGGTCCGTGCGGTCTCTGGGATCGACGTTTAGTTGCCTCAATGATCGACGTTTCTCTCCCTATGACAGAAATCAGAAGGGGAATGGACTGCAGCCTGCGGATACTGTATGTAATACGAATGCCCAGTTACCTCACAACCTGTGCGTTCGTCCCTTTCTTGACTACTGGACAAGCAGCTGTGCGAAATGCATCTCACTTTCAGGGTTCATTCCCCCAGGCCGCGTAACGTTGGTCTTGAATTCCACATGTATATTGTCATTATGACATTCCGATCGTCTTGGCTACATCCCAACATCGGCAATCCGGCCTTGACCAACGTAACCCTATCATCAGCGTCTGGAAGATGAGGAAATGAAGAAATACCTAGATAGGTGTAGGAAAGCCAGGGGCAGGATTGATAATGGCTGCCACAATCAATGTTTTTTTTTAGCAACTGAGGCTCTGCCGTTGAGGGTGTTTAAGCCGGTTAGACGGCTTCAGGGTAGCCAGTCGATTGGAAGCTACATCAGAACACAACACTTGTGTATGCCATGAAAGTTGCCGTGGGGGAGGCCTTATCTCTAAGACGTGGAGTGTCGTGATTAAAAATGGAAGTACATTGCCGAACACCTTGTGCCACAATCCGGATAGTCTGTTAGCCGTCTAAGACTCATACACGCATGGCATGTTTGTCCTGTGTTTCCAACAAACAAAGGGAGTGCTAGTAAGACAGTCTAAGATTTGACCGACCAACCAACAATCTGAATCTGCCTGTCCGACACTCCAATGCCCCCTCGCACAACAACCATGTGGTTTCTCCCAACCGTTGCAAGCATGTATGCCATGTCTGATGTATCGTACCGCACTGCAGTCTGTGCCTGGATGCCGCCCACTGCTATCAATTGACCCCTTTGATTGGTCAAACCTGTCATTCTCCAACGTTCTCGCTTGACCAGGTATGCCTGGCTTGACCGGCTGCTATGCTGCTTCCTCAATTGTTCAAGATGTTGTGAAATCATAGGGCTGATGCTGTGTCTGATGATTGATGGTTGCTTCAAGCACCTGATTCAAGATAGTAGCCCTTTGGTATACGTCCCATCATGATGGTAGAGAAACCAATACCAATCATCCTAGCCCAGCAAGCGTTGACAGGTGTCGGGCTCGTTCTTTCCTTCTGCTTCAGACTCTTGGAGCTCTTGGTTGGAAGCCACTGCCCGCATTCGCACTTGCTAATGCTGAAGCTAATGCTAGGTAATGCTCTTGGACTCTTCTCCACTGCACTTGCAAGCCCCGGGCAGCCAGATTCATGAAACTAAGCCCAATCCAATCCACCCCCTCTACCCCTCACCACCCCAGAATATCCCCCAGATACACAGATCCATCATCTCTCGCAGGCCAAACAGAGGCCAAGCGTCCTAGAGTACAACAATCACTAACGATGCACCCCTCCTCGATATCTTCTTGCTACATATCCAATGGTATTATAGAGAGCGACCGCGACAGCCTCTCAACGACTGCTTATCTTCATCTTCCTTATCTGAGTTTCATATCTCCCTGTCCGAGTTCCTTACCATGTCTTTGACTCCCTCGCCGACTAACACAATCATGCTTATCATTATCATCTGCTGTGCTCGATGCCATTATTGTTCTCTCGGCTCGGCTCTCTGATGCCAGTTGTTTCGTTCCATTCGTATCTCGGGCGGTTTCCGATATGACTTCCCTCGCCACACACGTATTCAGCTCAGCAACTTTCAAGCAATCCGTGAAAACCCGAGAATCAACAAACACTCCAAGCCTTTTTTTTCTTGGACCCTTGCGCCATGACCCATTTATGCCGCCATTCTCGTTAACTGGCGACTGTCACAGCCATGTATTTTCCTGACAACAAGATCCGTTGCGGGTTGCTCCTATGAGTGGGTCTTGAGAGGACATGTTGCTGCGAGATGCTGTGTGCAGACGATTTTGATAGTCACTGCACTATCAGCTCCACGATGTTGTCTTCGCTTTAACCTAGTGGCCACTGCATATGGCTTGCACTATCTGGTTTGCAGTATGTATCAAGTATGTGGGCGCAAATGCGGATGCGGGTACATTGTGGCTATAGTAGGGCTGCTGCAGTATTACTCTTACTGTATTACCTACTTTGACCCAAGGTCAAGTAAGGGGATCTTGGCAACAGAGACAGCGGACGCGGTTTTGTCTGCCGTGAGTTCTCTTGCCAGTCAACCCGATCTGGCAATTTGATAACCCAAGTCTACGAGCACAATATTGATTATATGCTGTTGACTTTCCGATAGTGGTTCCCAAAAGACAATTAACTTGCCAACTTGCATTAACCCGCATTGAGGTAATTTGCTCTCATATAGGCTGAGAAACTACATCACAAGGTTTGTTGTTATACAACATCATGTAGCCACAAACAAACCTCTTCCCCCTTGGCATATGTACTGAATGAAACCATTGGCGACTCACTTTGAGTGTAATGAGAATCGATGACTCGGCTATGGTTACTTGAGAGTTCCCGGTCTATAAATATCGTTAAGATTGGGATCTCTAGTATTGGCTCGTAACCGAACCCGCCCGGTTATTAAAATGCGGATTGATTGATATATTCATGGATCCGTCTGACGGAACCACTCAACTACGGCACCGATGTTTTCTCAGTCTTACCTCACTAATTAGTACCACAGTTACGCAATTTTTAAGATTTCCAGGCAAGCATCATCATACTTTCTCTAGGTAGGTAGTTGAAGATACCCATCTCGGGGCCTAGCTGCTGGACTACTGAGCAACTCTACAAGGACCCTGATCGACATGGGGATCGTTCTTTTCTTCCTGGTATTACCAGGATTGCCAATGGGTCTAACAAACCTTCAAAGCACACGTTAATTTTTTTCTGACGACTTGTTCAGCCATGCTTCTGACGAATAATACTATTCTTCCGAGGAATCTACAAAGTCGGTCATACGCTCAGCTTTCTATTCTCACTTACAAACACCTTCCCACGCGGGATGAGCCTCTATTCATCCATCACTAGAGTCTTGGTGATATCCTGGTGGGCCGTGATTGTTTGGGGGTCTCCGCACTGGTGAGGACACAAGCTTTGGCTAGCATCACTGGCGCCGACGGAGACAGGAGCACTATTTACAAAGAGAAATGATCCTCGACCAGTACTGATACGTAATACCTTGAGGGACTTGTGAATTTCTTGATGGTCCCTCAATGTTCGGCCTCTCCCACAGTGACATATTGCTTGTTCTGTCATATTCTATTTCGAATTTCACTAAGAGCAGTAACCGAAATGGCACTCTATACCAAAGTTCTCGGGATGCCGCTCTGGGTAGTTGCCCGTCGTTTTCACCATTTGTGGAGCATACTTGGGGAGTGTTGGATTTGGGGTTGCTTTCAGCAAGACACAAATACCATTCGTTCACAGCATTGGGAATATATACCATGAGTGTCGTGATAAGATCATGCATGATTTTGACTACACTCCATGATGCATCACCAAACACGGTTGCTATTGGACAGTCAATGGTATGTCGATAATAACATGTCGTTGTCCCATTTTGGCATCAGTGCTGCTTCCTTTATCACATATTGTTACGTCACTGGAATATCAATATACGTTACGGATATCACCTACAGACGCTACCAGACTCTCATATTGTCGCAACCTTTCTCATGTTCTCGAGCGAAGATTCCATGTCTTGAACAGCCAGTATGGAGGCACTGTGCCAGAATGGAGGCACTGTCTGGAAGAGTCAGCCAATCATGATTCACAATTGGCCCTCGTTTCTCGCATATCGGATCGACCGAGACTTAAATAGTGAACGCAAGTCATCTCGGTCCGAGCAGGTGGAACTTGCTGACTTCCATCCTAACGAAACGACAAGAGAGAACAAGGAATTGAGATGGATAATTTGTGGTTCCTGATGAACACCTAGACTACATGGATGCCTGCTGAAGTTTCTGCATTCTACTCTCGATTCACCCTAGCAATGTGGCTCTAGTCACTGGGATCGACCAGCAGGATCCAACTTTAGCACTGGAAGCCACGCTCTAGCATGTGAAGGCTGGCTGGCTATACGATACGCATCCTCTAGAGTGAAATGATATGAGAGCTTACCTACCTATGGACATTTCCGATGTGCAATAGGACCACCAGAGAATTGCGACAGTAACAAAATCTACTTCGTTAGTCTTGGCACAGGATCTATGAGTCTTTTCGCAGTTTTCCCTTTTTACTTTTGTAATATTGCCTCATGAGTTTGTTACTCCAACACCAATGAAAGCTCAATCGCGACCCTATCTTGACAAGGGCGCTTGTTATTAACTCACGTCCTCAGCCTCATACTAACTATCCACTTGTCTCCTCGTCTCGAAACTCCACACCCCATCGTCTGAAGCGCTGCAGTCCCCTTGAGCAAGATGTGCGATATACGTTGCATCTAACCCCTAGGCGCCAGACGATCCCCTCTTTAGCCTCTCTGAGCTGCTATTCCTACGACCCGTTTCCTGGACTTGCAGCACAGCCCTGAAGCTATTGGAAGAAAATCAAAGATACCCAGCTGCTTCATCTTGCAGACTCGCTCAGGCGATAAAGAACCAACGAGGGACGGCCTCAAAATGATTAATAGTATCGCGTTTTATAACCAGATGGCTGTTCATGATTGATGGGCTGGTTGCCTTTCCAAATGGCTTCTCTTGTAGTTGATGAAGAAACCCCGCACCCGCACCGAGAGCCTAGAACGAACGACTAAGAAGTCACTTTGCAAGTGAACAACTTCTCGCCACTCTCATTTTCATGTTGCAGATGTTACGTTGGTTCGAATCTCTCCAAATATCTCTCATTAACACTCGTGTTGCCTTGCCCCTCGGTTTCTTTGTGGGTTCTCGAAACTTGTCGAGCATCCCTTGTAACGACAACCGACGTTCCTACAGCAATTGCTAAGGTTCAAGAATCCACTACATGTCACCATTAACTCCCCAAAATGATGCTGCGAAACTCATATGCCACTATTTTCGATGGTGTTGTGCCTCATCTCACTGATAATGCAGCGCAGACATGGCTTACAGGCCTTATTTCTGCTTGAGGTACACGGCGTAGATCGGTCAGGGGAATTTGCGTGGGATGGCAGCACCCTTGGCTGCGCGTAGGGTTACGGAATACCACACCGAGGTCACCTAGATTTCGAGGTAACCCTGGACTCGGCATGGCGGGTATGCCAAAGCCAGGGCCAGGGCCAGGGCCAGGGACTTGAAGAGGTCATGAAGCACGACACCAAAAGAGGAAGAACGAATATGGCTCCTTGAAAAAAGGACCTGAGGGAGGAGATACCCAGCAGGTTTGCGGATGTGATAATTGACGGAGAGAAACATTACGACATGATCGATTTTGGCATCATACAGCGCTGCCTCGAGGGTCAAATCGAATTTGTGTACATGTTAGTGATTTACAGACTCTCTATCTGCCTTGATGTCTCAGTCAATCGGTTCGTCCCTGCCATCTGTAGACTAACGAGCCAAGAGTTTTGTCTCGTCAAGTTTTGTCTTGTCTTGGCCTGGCTGCTTGGTTACACAACAGGGCGTGCGTCAGCTCGCTCCAACTCCAATGTATGCGCAACGCACTGCAAATGCGGTGCAGGGCATACAAAACGTCGACAGTGCAACGGTGCTGCCGTGAAACCATGCAAATGTGCACTAGAGTGATCTGAAAGGGATGCGTCTGCATTGTTCAAGGAGGAGTCAGGTGTTGCTCATAATAAGGGTGTCCTCAAAGATAAGGTGCAATCGATGACGGGTTACCCGTTCCCACGAGTGTGAGGATGAGAGTGAGCAAGGGTTCCATTGCATGGGTTCAAGCTCATGATGGGTGTGTCACGCCTTGGCCTGGTCAGCCTGTAGGCTTGTTTTTATTAAGTAAACAAGACCACAACAAAGGAGAGCAACTTATGTATCGTCGATCTCTCAGGGTATCCCGAAGCTTACGCTGACCGGTTGCAGTCAAACCAAATAAACCCCGCGACCCGTTATCGCGGCTAACTATACTCAGTTTGAGTTATCATGAAAGCGTCATCGTGCCTGGACGGGCCGCGGGATAAATCATCCGGGCGAGATACAGTGTTGGGTGATAAGTAAGCGCTTCACTATCAACGGCCATGTCCAGACAGGAAATCCAATACGACGCTGTCCTTGATTGCAGAGAAAATTGCATTCTTCGCGAGCTTAAGCGTCTTGCTGTGTGCCTTTTTTGAGTTTCCGAGCTCGCACTGCACCAGGTTGGTCAATTAATATCATACTGCAGTACGGATACGTTACAGCACAGCATAGTAGTGCACCCAAGGGAATAGGCTATAGCCCTCCGGCCGTCCGTCCGGTTGTCCGTTCCATCCTGGGGTTTGACATATGCCGAAGACATCGGCATCGTCAGACTCGCCTAAGCCCTACTGGCAAAGGCAACTTCGCGCGGTAGGCGGAACGAAGCGCAGAACATTCTCTTTGCTGGCGCAACGTCTCGCACGTCGTATATGAGGACTTCGCCTTCATTCTCGGGATCTCCCGGTTTGAGTAAAATACCAATCTCCTTGCGGATGCGCTCGCAAATATCGTTCAGCGGTGTCTCGTCATCAGCCTTGAACGAGAAACAGTGGACATGGATCATTGGTAGTTTGGCATCGGTGTGAGGCTCAAAGAGCTCCTCATGCCCGTGGTATAAGCCACGGTAATTATGAGTAAACTCGATTGCGGATGCCGGAAGGTTCATAACAAAGTGTGAGATGGTTGGTGGCACAGGCACCCGGACGGGCTCCGGAGGCGGCGCTGTGGACTTTCTTGATGGTCTGGGAGGTTTAATAACTGCACAGTCACCGCGCTTAGATGCTTCGAGAACGAGGTCTGCAGATGTTCGGATAAAGTCGTGGCCATCGTGATTGAAAGGCTTGACAAACTCCGAGACCTGCGATGAAAAGTTAGTATCGGATCATGATGAAACGAGAAAAGATGGCTTGGCTCACCTTATTCCTACGGACCGCGTCTTCAAGGTAGCGATAACTCTCTGGGTTCTTGTCATTGGCCCAGACAAAGACGCCCTTCTTACCAGCTGGGACAGCGAAAGGCCCAATGCCAGCCATGACATCTGCTACAACCTCTCCTGGCTTGAACAAGCCTGTGATTCTCTTGTGCTCAGTGTCGAGCTTGCTGTTCCAGTATACCTTGGAGTAATCAAACTTGAAAACGCAGCCAGCCTCGCTGACTTCAACATTCAGGTCATCAGGACCTCCGAGAACTTCGTAGGCAAAGGTCCTGAACTCGTTCTCTGAACCGACATTATCGATCTTGTTGATAACGGTCTTGATGTGGGGGTTCTTGTCTAAAAGGACTTGGGCAATAATGTTCTTGTAAGGCAGGTACTGGTCACGAATGTTGAGATGTGCTGCCTTGTTAGCATGGGCACTGTCAGTTTAACAAGAGCTCAAAAACATACCGACGTGTCCTACTGTGTTGAAGCCACTTGGGATCTCCTCATGGAGTTCCTCTGGGAGAATCGACTTCATAACATCAACTTGGTCTTGTTAGTCACTCGTACGTTATATTACAGATTTTCTGACTTACAGTATGACCAGAACTCATAACCAATCTCAACATCATAAGGAACCACCGTGATATCGCCAACTTGGGCTGCTTCTCGCAGGATGGGACTCCATGTCTCCGGAGCTATTGTCTCTTTTATTAGTTTCTCTCACTTTTCTTCCTACAAACCAGACGTTACTCACATGTAGACTTGATCTGAGGAGCCAAGACTATACACTTCTTGCCCTCTGAAGCAAGTGACGGGTCAGGGTCGGGCAGGATTGGGTTGAACCTCTCCATGAAGAGAACCTCATTTGTCTTTTCAAGCTCTTTGCGATACTTGGAAAGAAGCTTGTTCTCTTTGATAGATGCCGCTGCAGAGTTGAGTGTCTTTGCGAATAGTGACCTATCGAGAGTCTTTGCCGCACGAGCGGCTGGTGCTCGGAATAGGTTCATTTCTCGAAGTTGAGAGTTTTTCTGAATATTTTCAAAGACTCATTAGTTTGTTATTATTTCCTTGATGTTTCTTGATCATATTTCTATAGATTTATAGTGGCAGGGATTGGGGGACTAACATCCATCGTGAAGCCTTGCTTCTCTCAGATATCGTTAAGATTTTGGCAAAAATGTATCTGTACGGACTTGACTGACATGAGTCAAACAAGGGTCCCTAAAGTGAGGCTGATTTGAGCTTGTTTGGTTAAGTTAGGGCTTTCCACTTTGCAGAATTTGGAAAGCTTCTTGAGCACAGCCACATATGAGCGCCACAGTTTTTACCTAGACGCAAGGCTGGGGTTTTCAAGGTGATGTCACGACTCTCGAGATACATATTCACGGTAGATAATTGATGTTTTGTACATAGCAGCTCAAAAAAATATTGCTCAGTTTCTTCCTTGATAGTCTTTTG